GTTTTTTTTGAAATTTATAAATATTATTTTAATATTATAAAATTAATAAATTTTATTTTTATTTTTTAAAAATATTTTTCTTTAATTTTATCTTTTTAAAATGACTTAAATATGTCTTTAATCCTTATAAAATTAATAAGTTTTGATTTTAGTTTCTGTAAAAAAAATTGTTTTTCATTTTCTAAAATTGGAATTTTTATTTTTAATTCTTATTTTTTATGTAATCATTTTTAACTACTTTTTTATTTTAAAAAAAGGATAAATAATTATTTTTTTAACTACTACAACAATTACGTACTATTATCATATTGATATTTAACACCTCTAACTTTTTTTTAAAATAAATATTATTTATCTACCTTAAAATAATGGCTAAAAACCTATTTTCGTCCCTTATAATAATTGTTTGTTTCAATTTAGTCCCACTTTTATTTTTGGGCTCAATTTGGTCCGACATAAATTAATTGGTCTCAATTTGGTCCCTAATAAATTAATTGGTTTCAATTTGGGATTTCCGTCCAAATTATTTAAACGGAGTTAACTGTGTGGCCACGTGGATGTCACGTAGATGCATAGGTGGATGCCACGTGGATGCCACGTTGTAACAGCCCAAAATCGCTGGGCCAGAGGCCCAATTGATTGCCCGGAACGGGCTGGTTTATAAGTGAAACGGGCCATTCCGGAATAAGAAAAATGCCCAAAATTGGAGAAGTAGAACGGGTCGTTCTGGTTTGGAGAACGGGCCGTTCTAGTTTGGAGAACGGGTCGTTCTGCTGGGAGAACGGGCCATTCTGCTGGGATTAAGAACGGGCCGTTCTGGTTTTGGAACGGGCCGTTCCAACTATGTGTGCAAGAATTTGTTGCAGAAAGGCCCACTATGGCTACTGTAATTTCTATGCTTCAAAGTGAGATTGTGAATCTTCCTCCTCCAACAAAACCTGCGTTCACCCTGAGGCATAATATGTTAAGATCAATGTCCTTTGCTAAAAGCAATGGCTTGAACTCCCTCAACTTTGTCAGCATTTCAAGCATTCAAGGCAGATAGAAAACAAAATGCTCCGAGAATTGCACATGGATGCAACCTTAGCTAGTGTTTGAGCGGGGTATGAGGTCGAGGGTTATTCCCTTAACCAAGTACTGGGGAAGGTGCGTGGTTCCTTGCGAATAGTCGGCAAGTGACTTGGTAATGCATGTCAAGGTCACATGTTTCTTTAGGGTAGTTCTAGTGTTTTGATTAAGGTTATAAACACCAATTCATCTCGTTGTATTGATTAAGGTTAGATCATTTGTTTCTCACAAACATTTTGAATGTTGTCATATTTTTACAGCGATTGTTGTTTTCGTTTTTTTTTTTTCTTCATAAATTGGATGGTTACAAATTGAAAACTGAATCTCCATTGCCCCCTTATTAACAACCATGAAATCGGGGAGTTAAGCTTAGTTACACTCTAAGCAGGAAAAAGTTGGTAAAAAATAATAATGAAAACGAAACTCTTTAAATTATACAGTAGAAAAAGTCATCATCTACTTTGAAACGACAGGGGATACCGGATATATTTTCATTCAAGGAAGGAAAGGCATTTATAAAATTCAACAGCAAAGGTTTAACGAAACTATTTCTCTATACTAGATAGCTTTAGAACGCAGATACAAGAATGCACGATGCAGAAAATCTAATTACATCTGATGGATAATCGATGAATAAATGTAAACAGAGTTGTGGTTCTTATAACTTGGTTATAGAAACTGAATAAGGGATTATACAATACATAAGAAATGATGGAATCAGATTGTACAAGTTCCAACTCCTTCCATTCCCTTCCTTTCTATATTATTTTTTATCCAAACAATGGATCTTAAATCCTTCAATTGGCAAGTGGTTGTGAATGTGAGTTTCTATGAGTAGTTACTAGTAGATAATTTTTATGGTGTGTTTGGATGGAGAATTTATAAAGGATAACTTATTTATTTGAAGAATTTTAAATTTTTTGAGGTGAAATATTTGTTTGGATGAGAAATTTACAAAGAATTTAAAATTCAAGTATTTGTGAAATTTCTCAAAATAATAAAATTTCAAATTTTCCCAAAAAAGTAAGAATTTGAAATTTCTCATATTTATTTTTCTTATTTCACTTATATATTTTATCTTATCTCTTCATTCTTTTAATTATTAAATATTCATAAGTATTTTTAAAATTATTAAATATTATCTAATATTAATTTTTTAAATTATTAAATATTTAAAAATTGATTAATATTTATTTTTATAAAATTTAATTTAAAAATCTCAACATATAAATATATTTTTAAAATCAATTTTACTATGGTGGAATCAAATTATCATATTCAACCTAATAATTTAAAATTTAAGAAATTTGAATTGACTTATTCAAACAAAATATTTTAAGAATGATAAATTGAAATCAAAGTTATTCAAATACCAAAAATTTAAAATTTCTTGAATTTGAAAATTTTTTTATATACGCTATTAAGTTACTGTCAATCACAGTATTGTGAATATAATTAGTATATGACTTAGTGATTTAAAAATACCCATGACAAAATCCAAAAAAGTCAAGTAAAGGGTTGTTTTTTTATTGAAATAATGTAAAGGGTTGTTTGAAAAATAGTTTTTTTTTAAATAAGATTAATTAAATTAAATAATATTTTCTATCTTTCTTAGTAAGCATTAGTTACATTAATTATATTTTTTAAGTTTAATTAGTTTTGCGTCAGCAAGTCTTCTAACTGGACCTACGTTGGTTAGTTGTTATTACCTTTGAAATAAAATTTAGAATTATTATTTAAAATTATATTTAAATTTATTAAAACTGTTCACATTCCCCATTTCCTTTTTAATCGACATTTTAGTAAAAAATATTAAATATTAATTGTTTTTTGCATATTAAATATTAATTTTAATATTAAACATTAAATATTACTTTTATATATTAACTATTTTTCTAAGTTTGTTTTCTTTTTGTAATTAAATATTAATTGTTTTTACATGTACCATTATTTGATAATTACAATCCTACTTAGCACACTAGTATTAAATATTAAATATTAAATATTAAATATTAATTTTATATATTAACTATTTTTCTAAGTTTCTTTTCTTTTTGTAATTAAATATTAATTATTTTTACATGTACCATTATTTGATAATTAGAATCCTACTTAAATACACTAGTATGAAATATTTTTTTAAAGAGTACAAAAAGAAGTATAAAAAATTATAGAGGGAAGAGAGTAATTTAATAACACAAGTTAAATATATAAAAAAATGGTTTCAATAAAATTAAATGCTATCATTTATATTAAAGGCAATAAGAAATAAATACGTGGCACTTATAAGAGTTGGAATTATGTATGTGTGAAATAGTATGGGGGGCAAGTGCCCCCACTCTCTAACAAATGGATCCGTCCCTGATTACACCGCTCAATAACTTTATATTAAATGTAAATTTTGTAAATTCAACCGTTAAAATGAAAATTTTTTACTCTTAAATCATATATACAAAATGTTATATTAATCGAAGATGATTTCTTATAAAAGAAAATTAAATCCGTTGGAAAATTTATATTTTTGATGGAATTTTGTTTTGTAGAAAAAGCTATATTATTGATAAAATATTTTCGACAAATTTATATTTGTCGAAAATGTAAGAACTGATTTTAAATTTGATATGAAAATATTATGATATAATTAGATAAGATTTTAAGTTAGTATTTTATTAATGGTTTATAATTAGAAAATAAAACAAGGATAAATACATTTTTTAATTTTACATGTTTGATTTAAGATAACTTACAAAATAACTCTTGATAAAGTATTCCGCTGAATAACTAATGGTGTGTGTTAAATTTCATCGATCCAATTAATTGTTAAATTAAAAGTTATTAAATTTTACTAATAATTAATATATAAAAAAATTAATTAGCTTTGAAATAAATTATTTGCTAATTAACAATATAATTGAAACTTTAATTATTTTAAATTATTTAACTAAAATCTTATTGACAATTTACTATATGATCTTAATATTTTTGTATAACTAATATCTGGTTTTAAATTTGATATGAGAATATTATGATATAATTAGATAAGATTTTAAGTTAGTATTTTATTAATGGTTGATAATTAGAAAAAAAAACAAGGATAAATACATTTTTTGAATTTTATATGTTTGATTTAAGGTAAATAAATATATTAAATTAATTAATAATTTATTTAAAATATTAAAATTTAATTTATAAGTATGTAATAAATAAATATTTATAATTTTATAAATTATATTATCATTATAAATTAAAAAATTTAAATAATTTAAATTATAATTTTAAATCGAAATAAGTAGATGTTAATTATAAAAGTAAGTACATATAAATAAAGAATAATTGAATATATTATTATTATTATTATTATTATTATTATTATTTGTAATATAAAATTATTATATATTATTATTATAGTACAAATATGAGATTGTATATTTGAGGATGATTTAAATGAATTAATTTGTACAAGTTATACTGACAACATACATATACATTTCGGTAGCTTACTCATCAGAACTTTATAGTTAAGTGTATTTGACCTGGAGTAGTATAGGGATGAGTGACCTTCTAGAAAGTTTTCTAGAAATTGCGCAAGTAATGATAAAACACGCTAAAAAGTGAAATGTCATAAAATAGAACCTTGAGAGGCCAAATATGAGGGTTGTTACATTAATAAATTTATTAAAATGTAAAAAAAAATTATAATTTCCGACGAAATTTTCTGTCAGAAATTTTCGACAAATTAAATTATTTTTGATGGATTTTTTTTTCCGACGCCACTTTTTCCGACAGATTTAAATCCGTCAGAAAAAAAAAATCAATAAAAAATTTACCATTTTTTATCAGAAATTTCTATCAGAAATTAACATTTTTCTTGTAGTGACAAGTTTATATATATAACGGTACTTTGAATTCACAAGCTATAGAACACAGCGAATATGACCTTCTCTATCACCATGCCTGGAGTAATAGTTCTCCTTCTACTTCTCATTTTGTCACCACCATTATTACTTATTCACCAATCCAAACATTTTGTTGTAGCAGATGAAAAACTGATTCAAACTTTATGCCACAACTCTGAGACACCTAAAACCTGTATGAGGTGTGTGCAATCTTCTAAAGGTTCTGAGAAAGCTGATGGTGTTGGAATAGCCACAATAGTTGTTGATTGCATCAAGGACAAGGCAAATACCTTGGCACTCAACATCACAAACTTGGCTTCCACATCACATGGAGAACTCAAGTCAATTTATCAAACATGTGCAAACGACTATGGCTACCACATTGCAAAGAAGGAGTTAATTTCATCCATCCATGCCTTGCAGAATCATGAATATGACAATGCTGAATCTCATGTGGTTACAGCTTTACGTTTGGATCTTTCTTGTCGGACGAATTTGGAACATTACCATAGCAAAGTGCCAAATGGGGTTTTGTATGATATGAAGATATATGAGGAGCTCTCTGAGGCTGCTTCTAGAATAATTGAAAAGCTTTATGTGTAAGGGTTTTGATGCCACCAAAATTGTTACCGTTAGGTATGCTAGTTCGTCAACACCTATTTTCAATTAAATAATGAATTTAAATTCAAAATTTGTTATTATCAATCAAATAATGAATTTAAATTTAAGTTATTACTACAAGTAATTCGAAACATATATTTTGTTTGTTAATCAAAGGACCAATTACTAATACAACATAGTAATTCTATGATGACAATGAATATTGTTGATCAAGCTCAAGATGAAGACATGATCCTTATTAGTTTTGGTGATTACAAATAAGTCTCTTGAAAGAAAATAGTTCAACTTATATATTTTGTATTTCAAGCCTCTTGAAAGAAAAGAGTGCAAGTTATATTTTTTTTGTGTGTTTGAGATAGTATGTACATCAATATCCTAACTTTTATAATATCTAAAATATTATTTAATTTTTTTAATATATGTGCAAAAAACCTTAAATATGAAATAAAATGACATGAATGGAGAACATTTTTTTCTAAGTTTTTTTTTAATTAAAGATTAATTATTTTTACATCACTAGTGTAAAAAATAACTTTTAAAATCGGGATTTTAAGATCGGTTAAGAGGGAACCAATTTTAAAAGTGAGGCGGTGACATTTTTATAATTAAAATCACCACTTTTAAAATCAGTTAAAATTTAACCAATTTTAAAAGATATTTTAAAATTGGTTATTATTTAACCAATTTTAAAAGGTGTCATCATTACTAATTTTAAGATCGGTTATTTTATAATCGATTTTGTATATAGTATACAAAATCAGTTCTTAAATACCCGATTTAAAAAAGTATGTCATGTTCCTATTTTTAAGATCGATCATATAAAAATCGATTTTGTATGTAATATACAAAATCGGTTTATTTATAACTGATCTTAAATATCTTTCTCTTTCACGCTATTTTCTTTGCGTAATTTCATTTGATCTCCACTCTCTCGTGCTTTTGTATGTCCAGGCTTGCCATTGGCTATCCAAGTAAAGCGTTTTTTTTATTTACAATTGTATGTAATTTTATATTTTCTCCATTCGTGTTTCCTCCATTTGTCTTTGCAAAGGTATGTGTATTTTGGCCTAAACACAATAGGAGTGCTTTTCTCCCTCCTTGTCAAGGATGGTAAGCTCAGCATAGTCGAGGACGCCACCACCATTGTCACAAAGGTGGTCACCTCCCATGACATCATCATCGATAGCCTCTGCATGTAGAGATGTTGTCACGTTCGGTGCGCTCGACGATGTCGCCAATGTTAGGGACGACGGTAGCTCGACGGATGATTGCAAAATTGTCTTACTTTACTTTGTTTCATGTTTTCAATAGTCTTGTCTTACTACGGTCCTGTTGTTGATCATGGTGATAGTGTGGTGAGGATTCTTGAGCACCCAAGTCGGGTTATAGCAACTTATGAGGAAAAATTTAGTTAGATGCAAGAGGAGATTCGTAAGCGACTACAAGAGGACATGCAAAGGCCGGCAGCTCCAAGAGCATATGCAATCACTCAACCAACAATTTCAGTAGAGTACTCCACTAATAGAACCATTTATTGCACGTGTGAGTACAAAGGGATCATGTGCATATATTGATCCCTCTATTACTACCACTAGCACTGGTACATCTAATCAATGTGAGTTGTTTGTGGATGGATCACTTAATATTGCGGGCATAGGGAGGATTCACATATTAGGGTTCACTATACACCATCAGGTCATGTGAGTTGATATGGTTAGGGTTTTAGTGTTGGATGTTAGGCACCTAGAGGCTAGAGTTCTTGTGCCCACAAAGGAGGTTCAGACGATGGGACAGGCCTTAAACACCTTCTTTCAGTAGCCTCATAAGTTAGTGAAGGTGATATCTACGAAGGTATGTTATTTAATTAATATTGAATTTTAAGTTGATGTAATTTTATTATAATATAGTATAATATTAGTGTTGTACTTTGTGGAATAGGATATTGTTACCTCACCAAAGGGTAAAGGGAAGGTCATTGTTACCCCTTCTAGAAATCTTCCTCAAATAAAGAGGCTATGGAGATTAGTTGCAGATATGGAAGATGACGAGAAACCCAAGCAAGTCCCTTGGGCTCATAAAGTGTTTGACATGTCTAGTAAAGTACCTCTATATATAAGTCAAAGTGACATATCAAAGATTACAAATGGTCACTGTATGCTAAACAAATCAATTTTGCAGTTGTGGTTGTTGTAAGTATTTAAATTATTTTTAATTATATTTTGTTGATTTTTTCTAACATTGTTTCTAACCTTGTAAATTTAAATTAATAGTAAGTCTAATTTTATATAATTAATTATAATTCTTTTATAAAAACTATTTTCTATCAATCATAATTTCTTAATACAATGCTGATTGGCAACTTTTAGTTATTTGTCCTATGGACAACATAGCTATATGCATTTGCTTGTTACATAAATCTCCTCCTATGAACTTTAGACAATTATTAGATAGGTAAATTGTTTAAAAACATCTACTTTCTTTTATTGATTATCATTATATTTGACTTTAAACACAATCATAATGTCATTATCATTATGGCCATGAAAGGATATCATATACTTAAGGGTTCAAAGTTGAAGAAAAAAATGAGTTGAGTCTCTCCTAAAGTAAGATTTTAATTCTAGCAATGATATTTTATTTAAGTATTTTTTTTTAATTATTATTCTAATGAAATTGATTTTATATTCTTTTTGTAGTCTCGTAAACAAAAAGGAAATTATGAGTGTAGATAGTATGTAATGAAGACAATGCATACTATTGTCAATTCACAAATAGTATCTAGGTGGGCTGAAGTAAGTTTTACAATTTTGAAAGTTTTTATTTTAAGTTCTCATTCTATATATTTTATGAATTATTACTAATTGTTCTAATTTTTCTTAACAGATATCTATAAATAGATCACCATTGCCACTAGAAGACATAAACATCATTAGGGAGCAATGATCCACATTTTTTATTGAACATTACATTAACTAGTTTGAGCTTATGTTTTATAGTATTGTTTTAACTAGTTAGGACTTACATTTCATTGAACAATGTGGTCCATTTATGTATTACATGTATTTAAAACTATTCAATTATATATATGATTGACATTTATCATCTCTTCTCATTTGTATGCAATTTAGTTCATTGAGAAATAACATAGAAAATATAAATATTTTGGTTAATTGAAAACATTTGAAATGCCTGGTATTTATTCATTTGCATATTTTGTTCTAAGACGCTCCCAAAACAAGTCAAAAATTTAAAAAAAAAAATATCACTTTTAAGATCAGTTATGCCATAACCGATTTTTAAAATCTAAAACTTTTAAGATTGGTTATTGAATAACCGATCTTAAAAGTTTAAGTTTTTAAGATTGGTTATTCACTTTTAAGATCAGTCGTTTCATAACTGATCATAAAAGTTAAGACTTTTAAGATTGGTTATAAAAGTTAAGACTTTTAAGATATGTTAATAATCGATTTTAAAAGTCCAACTTTTTAAAATCAGCTCTTTTAAGATCAGTTAGAGAACCAATTTTAAAAGTTAAAAATAATTAATTTTAAAAGTCTTTTTTCCACTAGTGCATGTACCATTATTCGATAATTACTATCCTACTTAACACACTAGTATTAAATATTTTTTAAAAGTGTACAAAAACAAAGTATAAAAAATTATAGAGGGAAGAGAGTAATTTAATAACACAAATTAAATAATAAAAAAACGGTTTCAATAAAATTAAATGCTATCATTTATATTAAAGGCAATAAGAAATAAATACCGTGGCACTTAGAAGAGTTGACCTAGAACTAAAATTTACTAATGATGCTTTAATTCATTTAATAAAATTAGTGTACACACTTAAAGGCTTAATTAAGTACTGAAAATACTATCTCATTTTCTATCAAAAACAAACTAATAATAAAAAATACTCTCTCTTTCTATAAGAACACGCCAATTTAGTCTCATATATACAACAAGTAATTTGAATTCACAAGAACACAAAGAATTCATGGCCTTCTCTATGAAAATGCCTGGAGTAGTTGTTCTTCTTCAGATTCTCATTTTGTCACCACCATTATTCATTCACCAAGCAAAAAATTTTGCTGTAGCAGACGACAAATTAATCAAAACTTTATGCCACAACTCTGAGACACCTGAAACCTGTATGAAGTGTGTGTTGTCTTCTAAAAATTCTGTGAAAGCTGATGGTGTTGGAATAGCCACAATCATTGTTGATTGCATCAATGACAAGGCAAATAACTTGGCACTCAACATCACAAACTTGGCTTCCACATCGCATGGAAAACTCAAGTCTTTTTATCAAACATGTGCCAAAGACTACGGTTACCACATTGCAAAGAAAGAGTTAATTTTGACCAAGAAGGCTTTGCACAAACACAAATATGACAATGCTGAATCTTGTGTGGTTAGAGCTCTAAGTTTTCATGTTGCATGCCGCAAGAATTTGGAGCATTACCATGATGAAGTGCCAAGTGGTGTTACTTATGATATGAATATATATGAGGAGCTCTCTGAGGCTGCGTCTAGAGTAATTGAAAAGCTTTAGGTGTAATTCTTGATGCCCACCAAATTGTTAAACATAAGTTGGTCAACGCCTATTATCAATTAAATAATAAATTAAAATAAAAAATTAGATAGTCCAAGTAATTTAATGTTTGTGTTTGTTTTTTAATTAAGGATCGGTGTTTGATTTTTATTTTGGATATAAAGTCACAATTAAAGATATTATTTTATTTCTAAAAATTATTAATCCTAAATATAAAATTAATGAAATTAGATTGTCTAAATCATGAGGGGTTGAAAAAAGAGTTAATAAGAATTGATTTATTTATTCGTTAGTTCACAAGAGAAAAAATGACTTCCAAAACCCCAAATTCTTTACAAATTTTTCTCCTATTTGGGCCTATAACTTTGTCACAACCGGTGCCACCAGCAAAGGAGACGGTGTGAGAAAGATACCATGTGTGTTCTATAAGTGAAAAAAAAAAAAAAAAACTTATCCCTTTCATTCTCTGATATATGAAGCAAAAAATAATAAAAATTAAGTGGGATCTTGATTTTAATCGTTTCAATGAAGGAAAAAAAAGAAGAGTTTTGGACCCGCAGTTGTGGCATGCTGATAGGTTGGGCCTAATGAGTTCTAATTAGAAAAAAAAAAAAAAATAAGTGGTTAAAATATTATATTGATTGGTCTTAAAAGGTTATTGTATTTATCTTTTAGTTTTATATTATTTTATATTTTTTAGAGTAGTATGATGACACTTGTATAATTATTTTTAGTACTATTAGATTATAAATTTGTATCCTTTTAATCTTTGGAAGTATCAATGAAAATATGAACGTTACCTTCATCTTCTTTATAACTTTTTTATAGTCCTTTAATAATAGATTCTAAGAGTAATGATAATATAACTGTTAGCTCTCTATTACACACGTACTCCATATAACTGACTTCAGTTCATCACTAACATCCAACTTTACAATTGACTTGGAACATGACAACAAGGATATGCTAAAGACCTTGAAAATTTAAAAGTAGATATTAACGAGACATAAAAATATAGCTTTGATTTTATAAGTTAGTTTTATACTACTAGTTTAGTTTTTCACTGAATTGATGAAAAAAATAATTGGTTGTCAAATATTCAATCACTAAAAATTATAAGATGCATTTAGTAAACACTAAGATATATTACAAGGAGAACATCACAAGATAAAAATACTTAAGTTGTTGGACAATTTTTTATTGTATACATTATTTGGTAAAGAATGGATAACACAAATAAAATAATGTTAAATTTTCTACAATATATACTCTTATTAATATGAATTATCTTTACAATTCTTAATAATTATCTTAATGTGAGTGATGATGATAACAATAATAATAATAACAATATCAACAATAGTAGTTGTACTAGCTGACATCCCTTCGGTCAGGCAATAGGCCGATAGGGGTACCCGATCCGATAGGACGCCAATTGGCACTCCGTTCAGACAATAGGTCGAAAGAGGTGCCCGAGCCGATAAAAAACACATCACGCCTTCGGCTAGAGGTTGGGCCGAACACCTCCTCGGCGTTGGCATATGCCGAACACCCCCTCGACCTTGGGATAGGCCCAATACCTCCACCACCACCAAGGACAGGACAAGTATCCCTTTGGTATCAGAACACACCCTCCTCGGCATTGGCATATGCCGAACACCCCTTCGGCATTGGCATATGTCGAACCCCTCCTCGGCATTGGCATATGCCGGACACCCCTTCGGCCTTGGAGTAGACCAAACACTCTTTCGGTCTTGCACCTAGCCAAACACCCCCTTCGACCCTGGGATAGGCCGAACACCCCTTCGGCCGCGCGCCTGGCCGAAGAACTGGCAGAATGGGGTTTCGACAATAATTACTTGTTACACAATAATTACTGTCCTTAATCAGCAACGATTAAGGATAATCACGTATTACCCATCTCCCAAGAAGGAAGGCCCACTAGGCCCACACATATCACTATAAATACACAGGTGATGTGACATAAATGAGGTACGTTACTATTCTCGCTAATGCATTTATTGCTCTGAACCGAACACTGACTTGATCGTCGGAGTGCCTGTGCAGGTACCCTCCCCCACCACGCGGAGCTAGTGTTCGGGCAGCACGGAAGATTCAGAAGGACTTGAAGGCAACTAGGAAGGATCAAGGAGAAGAGTGTTCTTACGCAGGAACATTTTGGCGCCCACCGTGGGGCCGAAACCGGAACGGTTGTCGACCCTGAAGCGAGATGGTACTTACAAGAAGTCAACAGGAGAACGCAGCCACCGAGTACCCCTACGGGATGCCCCGGGACAATCCTAGGCAACAAACTAATCAGAACGAGGATGGAATGGAAGAGTCATACGTGGACCAATCTCAACAGCCTAATCCGTCGTCGGCCATCAAGCAACTGAAGGCCGAAATGATGGAACTCAGGAGGCTTCGAGAAAAAGACGCTCACTAATTATCGGCCCTGAGAAGAGAAAATGCCGAGCTCAGGAGCGACAATCGAACATGGCACCCGTCGCACGATACACGCAACCAGTCGACCCGGGACCAAGGTGAATCATCTGGATGGTATAAGGAAGTCAATGTTCCTCGCCCATCAGGTGGACCAACGACAACGCAAGACCAACAACGAAGACAAGGAAGGACTCCATTCACGCCAGAAATTGTCGGGGCTCGTTTGCCCGACAACTAGAAAAACCTGACCTTAGAAAAATACGACGGAACCACCGACCCTGAAGATCATTTGGATGTTTTCGTCACCCAGGTCGGCCTGTACACGGACGAGGACGCTATTCTTTGCAAAGTCTTCCCCACCTCCCTAAAAGGACCGGCGCTCAACTGGTTTACCAGGCTTCCACCCGGGACCGTGGACTCTTTCACGTCGTTGTCTTCCCGCTTTGTAATACAGTTCGCCACGAGCCGGCCTCATCAGCTCACGTCCATCGCGCTGGTCAACATACGTCAAGAGAAAAAGGAACCTTTGAGAACTTTCATGGAAAGGTTCGGAAAAATGACGTTATCTATCCGAGATCTGGATCCGGCCGTAGCGATGCATCACCTAACCACAGCGCTAAGACCCGGACCTTTTGTCAACAGCCTGTGCAAGAAACCACCCCGGGACCTGGATGACCTGCGACAAAGGGCTACCAAATACATGCAGATGGAGGAACTGGCGGAATTCCGAAGTCAAAATCGACCCGATCTATCACTCGCAAAAAAGGAAAACGACAAAGAGCCTCCTAGACAGCGCCAAAGAGATATGCCAGATCGGGACAAGAATGCCAGGGGACCGAGATATTTGCAGTACACACCACTCAACACCAGCAGGGCTAAGGTGTTGGAACATGCCCTGACCACCGAAGTTTTGGCCGTCCCAAGAAGAGCCATGACCCCCCCGCACGCCGACAAAACAAAAACATGCCAGTTCCATCGAAACAGGGGGCACACAACTGAAGAATGCTCCGCCCTTCGGGATCGAATTGAAGATCTTGTCAAGGCGGGACATCTTCAGAACTATGTTCGATCGACAGATCATCGAAGGAGCGACAATCGTGAAGGAAGAAGAGAATACCGAAGGGAGAATCGGGATCGAGCACCTCGGCGAAACCGATCCAGGGAGCGGAGTAGGTCTCAAGACAGGAACCAAGGCGACCGAAATCAACCCAGACGAGTCATAAACACCATTGCAGGAGGCTTTGCGGGGGGCGGAAGCTCGTCTTCGGCGCGAAAGAGACACCTGAGGGCGATCAAGTCGGTTAACACTATAGACCGGGCAGCAGTCATCCATATGCCCCCTATCACATTCACCGACCAAGATTTCCAGGGTGTGGACCCAGTGCAAGATGATCCCATGGTCATCAGTGTGGAAATCAACAACTGCATTGTAAGGAAAACTCTCGTTGATCAGGGAAGCTCGGCTGATATCCTTTACTGGAAAACTTTTGAACAACTCGGGATCCTAGAGCAGGAATTGACACCTTACGATGAGCCTTTGGTGGGGTTCTCAGGTGAGCGTGTCGACACTTGAGGAACAATAGACATGTATACTTATTTCGGAGACGATCGGCAGAGACGAAGGATCAAAGTACGATACGTCGTGGTGAATGCCAACACATCGTACAATATCCTTCTGGGTCGACCCTCCTTGAATAAGCTGAGGGCCATCGTCTCTACCCCCCACTTGGCAATGAAATTTCCGTCTGAAGACGGCAAAATCGTCACATTACACGCCGATCAGAAGACAGCCCGCAAATGCTACCTGGCCAGCCTGAAGGTACAACCGACTCCGAAACCAACTCGACACCAAGAAGTCAACATCATTGGAGACATTGGTCCCTCCAAGTTGGAAGCCTTGGAGCTTGACCCCAGAATTGAGGACGAGTATAGGGTCGAGCCGACGGAGATAACCATTCCGTTCCAGCTTGGAAAAAGGGAGGAACAAGTCACATACCTAAGTTCCCGCTTAACAGAAAAGGAAGCAGAGGACATCAAGCGAATTTTGTTGAGATACTCAGACCTATTCGCTTGGACAGCGGCCGACATGCCCGGCATCGACCCTGGCTTCCATTGTCATCGACTCTCGGTCTGTCGAGATGCCAAGCCTATCGCCCAGAAAAAGAGGAAAATGGGGGGAGATAGATCTCAAGCAATAAAAGAAGAGACTGCCAAATTACTTCAAGCCGGATTCATAAGGGAGGTCAAGTACTCCACATGGTTGGCCAACGTGGTGATGGTTAAAAAGTCCAATGGGAAGTGGCGAATGTGCACAGACTACACGGATTTGAACAAAGCATGTCCAAAAGATGCTTACCCTCTGCCCCACATCGACGCATTGGTCGATGGAGCGGCCGGCCATCAGAGCTTAAGTTTCCTAGATGCTTATTCGGGGTATAATCAGATACCGATGTACCCCCCCGACGAAACCAAGACCGCATTCATCCCAGCCTCAGCCAATTTTTTTTACAAGGTAAGGCCATTCGGCTTGAAGAAGGCGGGGGCCACATACCAGCGCCTCATGGACAAGATTTTTTCTCAACAAATTGGGGCATGTTTGGAGGTCTACGTGGATGATATGGTGATCAAATCCAATTCCGCCGCTGATCATTTAAGAGATCTGAAAATGATTTTTGACGAGGTAAGGCGGCACAACATGCGATTGAACCCAGCTAAATGCACCTTCGGAGTAGCAGAGGGAAAATTTCTCGGCTTCATGTTGTCAAAGAGAGGCATAGAAGCCAACCCGGATAAGTGTCAGGCCGTTATCAATATGAGAAGCCCTCTTAACGTAAAGGAAGTGCAACGCTTAGCCGGACGAATCGCTTCCCTAGCCCGATTCCTGCCATGCATGGCGGACCGATCCAGACCCATTATGTCCCTACTAAAGAAAGCCACCAAGTTTAAGTGGACCGATGAATGTGAATCTGCTTTCCAAAACTTCAAGACGATACTAACTGCTCCACCGTTGCTAGCCAAACCAGACCCTCAGCTGGACATGATAGTATACCTTTCGGTCTCAGATAAAGCCATCAGCACTGTGTTAGTGCAAGAAAGAACAGAGCAGAGGCCGGTATACTTCATCAGCAGGGTCTTACAAGAGGCCGAAACGAGATATCAACATCTCGAAAGGACCGTTCTCGCTCTTGTGCATACAGCCAGGCGTCTTCGACACTACTTCCAAAGCCACAGGATACTGGTCCGAACAGATAGCCCCATTGCAAAAGTCCTACGAAAGCCCGAATTGGCCGGAAGGATGGTCGCTTGGTCCATCGAATTGTCGCAATTTGATATTCGTTTTGAGCCAAGGGGACCCATCAAGGCGCAATGTATGGCCGACTTCATCAACGAATTCACTTCGCCAGTAACCCCTGAGCCACACTCATGGACACTACACGTAGATGGATCGTCCAACCAACATGGCAGCGGCGCCGGCATCATTTTGGAAGGACCGGGGACAATAATAATAGAACAATCATTGCAGTTTGGATTCAAAGCCTCTAATAACCAAGCAGAATACGAGGCCCTTCTCGCTGGACTTAGGTTGGCCGCCGAACTCGGCATCACTAAGCTCCAGTGCTTTAGCGATTCACAAGTGGTAACAGGGCAAGTTAACGGCACTTTCCAAATCAAAGATCCGACTTTGCTATTGTACTTTCATGCTTTCCATAAGCTAAAAAGCAACTTCGAAGAGGTCCGAGTCACACACACTCCTCGGGAACACAACGCTAGGGCCGACCAGCTAGCTAAACTCGCTAGTAGCAAGAAAACTAGCCATTTACGTAGCATGATACAACAAGAGTTACCAAGCCCGAGCATCAATGAAACTGAATGCCTGAAGATTGATCAGGGAAGCCCGTGTTGGATGGATGCCATAGTAAACACCTTCGGACCGGGGAATTGCCCGAAGATTCCCTAGAAGCGAAGAAGATGAGGACCATAGTCGCACGGTATACGTTGATTGCCGGAGAATTGTATAAGCGAGGCATTTCCTCCCCCTTGTTGAAATGCCTTACTCCTGACCAGGCAAGCTATGTTCTCCGAGAAATTCATGAAGGAGTGTGAGGAATCATACAAAGAAATCTAGGAGAGAAAGGAGCTCACAGACCCAGAGACCTTCTCTCTAAAACTTCTCTCTAAAAACTCACATTCTCCTCAAGGCCCACAACCCCTATTTATAGACATTTTGGAGTGGCCAGAATGGCCTATACTGAATCCGGAACGGCCCATTTTGTATCCCTTCGTCATGTGCAAAAACCACATGCAGAAC